CACAAAATCAAGAACATACCATACATTGGAATACTAATCACAAAATTGTATACACAAAATTATAGAATTAAAATCACACACAGAATCATAGAACTGCTTGATGTTCCTGTCAAGCACAGTACAAGACACACATAGAATCACAAAATTAGGATCACACTAGTCCAACCTATGAGGTATTATTTGCTTTGATCCGAATATCTTATAATTTTATCTTATAAAAAATACCTTACAAATTTGAGTTTAAACCTTTATTTATATATCATAACAAATTTTTAGAATACCCCAATGTGAAATTGAAATGTCATAGTTGATATGATGGTGGACATTGCAAATATGGCATTCATGTTAACTTGGTCTCATTTCTTATTTTGTGAAGATTCAAATTTAACTTGCAAAATATTATTTATTTTAACTCAAAACATTTTACATGTTTATCTTATAAAAGGTACTTTTTGTAAAATAAAATTTTAAATTTTTTTCATCAAAGTGAATGTAATACCTTATAGATTAGGTATGAATTCCCACATTTCTATGTCTAACAAGTACCATTTCTATGTTAATGTCTTCAAATCCTTCTTGATTATTGTTTCCAATGGATTCAAATGTTGCTTAGACGCGGTTTTAGGTTAGGTTTGGGTCACCTCCAAACCTTTTCTCTTTTTTGTATGCTCTTTTAAGCATTAATAATCAACATTGATCATCAATAAAAAGCTCATTTAAGGATAGGTGGCTTTATGTCAACTTGCTAGTTAATTATATTAGTGATACGTTAAAGATTTACTAGTGATAAAATGTTGTGTCAATGACCTAGCAAAGTGACATTACTCCATCAATTATCATAGAGTAAATCGATATAACATTCTTGAGAATTTTATTTTATATCGAGAAACAAATTGTAAAGCAAAACCCATCGTAAAAAATAACATTGTAAAAAATAATAATGAACATAGAAAACATTTGAAAGCACAATGCTAACATCAGTTTTTGTACTTGAAATTTGATTCAGCAGTTAGGGTAGGGCCAATAGGTTGAGGAAAAGAAAAGGTCAAAAGGACTAACCGACTAAATGAATGGTGGTAGCTTGTACGTGAAACTTATAAATTTTTAGAAATTTTATGCTTTTTAATTTTTGGAGAGACAAAGGGGCCCTTGATTTGTTCCAACTTTCTGAAGCCACTGAAAAAAAGGGAAAAAGAGAAAAAGACTTCCCAAATCTTGAAGAAAAGCACAATCTGGTAACGTGCTACATGTCATTTCCTGTTGGGAAACCAAATAGTCAAAGACCCAAAAAAAAAAAAAAGAAATCACCACCAAAATTACATTAGATAGCAATTTTCTTTTTTGTTTACCATCTGATTTTTTCCTGGAAAATTATGAGTGGAACAGAGGGTGCAACATCCAGTTACCTGGAGTCACGTGTCATCTCAGGGAGATGAAGCAAATTATATATGTCAGTAGACAAGAACAAATGCAAAAACAATTAATTGGCAGACTTTTTTTCCCCCTTGAAAAAGCATTTGAGTGCATCTGATTGTGCACTTTAAGTGAGTGTTTGATGACAAAAACAAGCTGCCAATTCCTGGAAAAAGAAAAAAAAAAGTTGAAACTGAAAGCTTCTTTTGAAATTGTGAACCAAAATGTCAAATTCATACGTATAAAATTTCGAATTTGAAAGCTACTTCTGTCCAGTTTCTGGATTTTTTGTAATCTCGCTAATTTGTTCTGTTTTGCTTTCTTTTCATTATAAAATTCTTTTCAATTGCTACTAAATTTACTTGTTTGAATATGCACCTGCATGTGTACGGAAATAGAAAGAACATGGTTTGTTCTAAAATTTTACATTTTTTTTTTTTAATTTTTAGGTGCCGTTTTGGCATAGCAAGGCAATTTGACAGGCAAAATTGGAGGAGGATGAAGGTTTTAAGACATCCTTATTAAGAGATTGTGAATCGGGAATTTAATTAAGTTGATTCATTTAATCACTTCTAAATAATGATATTTATCACGTTTGAAATTTAAATTTTAACGCCTATCATCTCTTCCGGTATGTTTAAGTAACGGTCTCTTTCGTGGAAGAAAATTTAGGATTGTAACATTATAACTGTAGACTGTAGTGTATGACCAAATGGGATGATTCTCTCACTATCTTGTTTCCTCAATTATTCTTGCAGGAATTCCACCATGCATACAAGAGAAGATTCACTACGATGATCAGTTCAGTGAAAGCTGAAAACCAAAAGATGGTTAAAAACAAAGACAAACTGTAGCAAGAATAAGCAACAGTCGATTCCTGAGAAAAAAAAACAACCACCGTTATGAATCTATGCAGTTTAGACAAACGGCTCTGCCAATTTTACACCGTTCATAATTGATAGCTTTTCACCAAGATTTCTAAGACATAACTATCTTTCCTAGTTATGGGACTCTGTAACAAAGATGCAAAATTTACACATTGGGAAATGGAGGGTAATAAAAGAATGGGTCGGGTGGTGGTAGGACTGGATTGTGGTGACAGATCCTCACCCTTCAGGCCTTGGCTCGGCAGCTTCCTGCCTTGCTCAGACTGACAAACATATATCAAATTTCCTTTTAATTTTTTTGGGTTTACAATTTCTATCTGCTGCTGATCGCTGAAAGTTTGGTTGTTTTTTATTGAGTTGTGCACGTTTCTGTGATGCAAAATGGCCTTTTTTCTAGCATTATATCATTAGCTGGCTGATAAGAGAGATGGATATATTATCATAAATTGCCAGAACTAATTTCAGACGTAGCTAATTAGTTGGTGGCATGGCCTGTACAGGTTTGTCTGTCTGCCACCTTTTAATTTCTTCTTCCTCTTCCCCCAATTTGCTTTCTCTCTTATCATAAATCTCAATCAACACATGATTTTTCAGATTAATTGTGGAAATAATGTCGGTAACTAACTATCTAAACTCTGAATTATAGGCTATTGGTTTCCTGTCGTTATCTATGTCTAACGGTCTGATGTCTTCAAAAGAGCTTTGGGTTTTCACATTTCATTTTTGTTATAACAATCTACAGATTTGCTTCTGTTTGGAATCTTTATATATTTTATGATAATTTTTACTAACATGATGCGCTTGATTGCCAAGTTAGAGGCTGGCAATCCAAGCAGCAATAACCTGCTCGGACAGAAAATATGCAGTTGGCTATATTGTCAGTTTTAACCAGCATGATTTCAGTTTCCTATACCTCAAGTTTGAAAGAAAATTAAGGAGGAGAAATATTAACGAATTTCAAATCATGGTTGATATAAGGATTGCTGGAAACGGTGGCCCTTTTTATTAGCCGAAGGCTAGACCGTCGGGATCCAAAAGCAGACAGCACCTCACTGTAGACGCATTCCATCAATCCTGGCGTCAACAAGTGTTATTTACATGTAATACTGGCATCTCCACACTTTCGGATTTGGACAATTTACCACATCCCAATTAAAATTATTAAACGAAACAAGTTTACCAAGAAATTAAAATTATAAAGAGAAGTATTTACGCACTCAGTTCAATTACCTATACATGCGGGTTCAAAAACACAAAAAAACATGAGTTAATGCGCATGCAAGCATGCAGAAGCTTATACATAATAATTAATTAAATATATATGCTCAATCCCCTATTAAGCAATAGTAATTATGAGTTTATAATCTATATACATAGGGAGTGGGCAGGAATTAGACAGACATATAAAAAAGTAACCAGAAAACAACAGCTAGAAAGGTCAATTTTAGGGATTGGGGATGTTAAATAATAAGACCCACATTAGTTTAAAGAGCATTGGTTTAGTCCCTGCAATCCTGGCAATTGGAGAAAAGAATAAAATATAACAATGAGCTAATGCAACAGAAGACCATAAAAGGTCATAAGAAATTTGCAAATGGGATTTGTTTAAAATGGGGTGGGGAGAGAGGGGAGCGATGTAATAGGTGGAGAAGAGATCAGGAAATGGCAATTAGTGAAAGAGAAGATGAGGTTTGGGGGACAGCATGCTTGGGGAGGGTGAGGGGCTGGGGGATACGAGGAAGGGAAGGGAAGGGCAGCATGAAATAATCCAATGTTTGCTTTGTATAGAACAGGTTTGTCTGGCAAGGGAGGGTGGATGAGGGTGCAAGGGTAAATAGGCCATAATCCCCTATTGTTTTTATTCAATCATAATGCACAATGCTCTACAGCACCATCTGAGCCTATGAATTTTACCCATAACTTGCTCAGAAAATTATGTGTTTTGTGTTCCAAAATAAATATTCATAATATTGTTGAAATTATTTTTCACCATTTCACTAGGATTAAAGAAATATTTACCATCTCAGATTGTCCATGTCTTGCCTTTTCTTGGAGTGATAAAGTATGAAAATGCTTGTCTCTATAGGATCATATAAAAGACAAACAAGCTAATTTAATTAAGTGGAGAGTGGAAGTATTGAATCTTGGTTCAAAGAGCGGAATTTGCAGCCATCGACTCTCTTGAAAAAGTTGCTACAATCCTACACTTTCACGACTAATTCAACACATGGGTTTATTGTTCTTATCTTCCATTGCATGGCCTTAATTATCAGTAAACTGAGAACCAACCTTTCAAAATTTCACTCTCATTCACTCATCATAAAAACTAATATGTGACATGTAAAATAAACTATACATGCCCTAAGAGGGGAAAAGTGTTCCAGAAACAAGGTCACTTAATTTATAGCTGGACTAAGACAAGGGAAGCTGCATTTTATTAGGGGCAACAAGCGACTTGGCAAGGCAAACCTGTTTTATTTCAATTGCCATAAATTTTTGCTAAGAAAAGAAAAAAAAAGAAATAGAGCTTGGAAAATATAAATAATACTAAAAAAAAATTAGTGGTCCACGCGTGCCAAGTTTAGCTCTGTATGTGTGAAGAAGCGTGCTATGAGGCACTCACGTGTGGCTAGGTTTTATATAAACGCATGAAGAGAATGCACTCAATAGAGTAGAAGTAGTATTAGTTATAGTAGTAGTAATCAAGCAAAAAAAAAAGGTTCTTAGTTTACTATGCATTGTTTTCACATTGACATGTGTATAGCTTAGGAAGCAAAGAGACAGGGCTAGAAAGAGATATTCTTGCATTACTTTAGTCGGTTTTGTTTTTGATTTTGTGAGAAGGCGAAGTATACGTAATAGATAGTTAAGGGAGATGGAGAGTGAAACACAGCAGTCAAAATTTAGGAGGATTTGTGTTTTTTGTGGAAGTAGCCAAGGCAAGAAGAGTAGCTATCAGGATGCTGCTATAGAGCTTGGGAGAGAATTGGTATTTTACAAAAGCCCTGGTTTTTTTCTCTGTTTCTTGTGGTCTTTTACACAAAATGAGACTTGTTTTGATTATGGTTTTTGTTAGAACTTGTTTTTTTTCTAATATGGAGGAAACGGGTTCTGCAAGAAATCTTTTGAAAGTTGCTTAAAGCCTTGAACTTTTGTTTCCATATGGTTGTATCTTCTTGTATACATTTTTTAATGTTTATGACTTGTTTGTGTATTGGTTCATGGTATCTAGCATTTTTAAAATCCCTTAAGTTTTCAGCTTTCTGATTTTTGGTTGTCTCTAGCTAGCATCTCTCTTCCTTTCTCAAAAGTCCTTGGTAGAAAACTCCAAGTCTCCAATGGTTTTTCAGTTTTTCTCAATGCCTATTGAAAAGGTTGAAAAGAAGGGCACTGTTTTTCCGTGAAACCCGATTATGTTTAAGTTATTAAAAGTTTGGAATTTTTAATGTACGTACAAGGACTAGTGCGTTGAATGAACAGGAAAGCATCCTTTTCAATCTTATTGATGGTAGTCTTATAAATGTACTCTGAAGTCTGAAGAAACATTGGTTTTGTCAAATGAGTTCATTGTAATGTAGATACATGCTTGAACTTTGAACCATAGTCTCATTCCCTCCTTATCATGCTCCATTTTTGTACTCAAAAAGTCTCTCATTCTAAACTTTTTAGTCTCTTTTTGAGCTGACTTGTTTATGTTCTTTTTCAGGTCTCAAGGAACATTGATCTGGTCTATGGAGGAGGTAGCATAGGTTTGATGGGTTTGGTTTCACACGCTGTTCATGATGGTGGTCGCCATGTCATTGGGTAAAGAACTAAAGCTTCTTTTTTTTTTTTTTTTCATTTCAACAAGTTTAAGAAACAAATTCAGTGAACTGGCTTTGTTGTTATTGATAATTTGTCTTCCTTATTACAAAACTATTCTTAGTTTTGGTTTCCATTACAACTGAATTTTGTCATGTTATTGTCTCTCTGCAGAGTTATTCCCAAGACGCTCATGCCTCGAGAGGTATGTCTGTTACAGCCAGGGAAAAAAGTCCTGAACCTTTTCTTATTTAATTTCATAAAGAAAAAAGAAAAAAAAAAGAAACGGACCTACCTACAAGTTTCATTATTTTTCACTTTCTTTTCACCATCCATGGTGTTAGATTTTTGTTCATTTCTTTTCAATCTCACTTTCTTTCTTTATTTCTTTTCAAATCTTGTTTTCTACCTTTGCTTTTGCTTCTGGTTTCCTCTCTTTTCTACCACTTAGATTAGCCAAACTTTTCTCGTGTTTTTTTCACTGTTATCAACTTTTTAATGTTTCTTGTTTGAGTTTCTCCATTTTTTGGTTCTTTGACGATGACTTGATGCGTGATAGCTTTATCCACAATATTACTGGGACCGTTGCAACTTTCCTCTTTACCATTTTCACATTTTCATTTTTATAAATATTTTTTAAATCACAACATTGGTTTCTTCTTCTGTTTTTTCTTTGTTGGCCTTTTCTAAAATTTGGGGTTTTTTTTTTTATTTTTTGCATTTATGTAGCTAAAATATTTACTGGCTAGGGACATTTCTCAGTATTGAAGTCTTTGAATTTGGTCCACTATTCCTGCAACTCTCATCATTGCTTCACTGCACAAAACTCGAAATCTCTTTCTCTTTCTCTCTCCAGATTTCAGTACTCTTATTATTTGTTTTCTGTGCACTTTGCAGTTAACTGGTGAAACAGTAGGGGAAGTGAAGGCTGTTGCTGATATGCATCAAAGGAAGGCAGAGATGGCCAAGCATTCAGATGCTTTTATTGCCTTACCAGGTTAGTATAAGCAGTTTACACCAAAATATAAAGGCAAATCAAGAAAACTTAAAGCTATCAGGTGCTTTTACTTCTCCAATTTTAGCATTCAAGATTGACCATATCTCATGATTTGACTCACTGGAGAATTGCTGAGTTCCTCTGTTTTATTTGATCTTTCAGTTCAGAAAAAACTAATTTAAAATCATGAATGCAAAGACTGTCCTCCTCCTTTACCTCTAGTTTGCTCATTTGATGTAACTAATGTTTCCATGTTATACTAAAAGATAGTTTTAAAAAAGGTGCTATGCTATGGGGTAAGGGAAGTCAAAATATTAACACTTGTGGCTGTTATAGTTTGACACTAGTAACTATTTTTGGTATTTGCTATGAAACTTCTCTTACAACACAGACCCCAAGGCCCATGACAAGAGAGCAACCCCAAAAACCCTAGTTCTTGACCCATCAACGTCTTACACTGAAAATTAGACCTTCTGAGGAACTCTCTTTCCTTGGTTAGTATGCTTTTTTAACTCTTGATATGTATTCCCAGTGTCTGTGGTGTTACAGTACCCCTGCCGTCTTAAGACTGAAGGACATCCTTAAAACTTTCACTAAAGAGTGTTTGCCAACTAGCATCTGCATCTAACAGGGAATCCTATTTACCTCTTTGAAAAGGCTACTCTTTTTAGTTCCTTTTCAGCTAAACTTTGAATTCTATTATGTCTTGAAAATTTATTCTGAATTGAAAGGTGGAAAATATGCAATGGCAAATCTGTCATTTTATTCTTCAGGGGAATTGTCCTTTGCATGTTACCTATCAAAAGAAAAAGAAAAAATCAAATGGAAAAAACTTTGTAAGGTGATAATGGGGTAGAATGAGAGCCATTATGACATGAATGGGTAGGCAGAGGATTGTGCCTCTATTTTCACAAAGGATGGGAGCGATAAATACCTTGTTCTTGGAATGTGGAGAAAAGTGGGGGTAAATGATAATCTAGAAACTCCTTGTTGTGCATGCCATAAATGATAAAACCATGGCCATCAAATGACTGGCGGTTGAACTGCACTGTAATAATCCTTATTATTACTCCTTAATCCTAAGCATTGCACTAAACTTCATTTTAGCATAGCAAACAGATAGTTAAACTCTGTCCTTAACCTTTTCATACTTTGAAGTTAATAATTAATTCTAATCTTACATCTAGTAGTTAATAATTAATTTTACAATGTTCCCTTCTCTTTTCCTTTTTGAATTTTATTGGATAAGTAGAATCATAGATGTCTTTGCTTTTGAATATACCTTTGTTGTATTCCTGTCTGTCAATCATGTTAGGCACCAATCAAATGTTTGTACTATAGAGTGACACCATCATTTCTACAATGAAAGGTATCAGTAGTTAGGTACTAAGTTATCTCTTTTGCAGCATCACATGATTTGGTTGCAAACTATAATTGATGGAGAAAACTCATACAAAATGCATGCAGGTGGTTATGGAACTCTTGAAGAACTGCTTGAAGTGATTACCTGGGCTCAGCTTGGAATACATGATAAACCTGTACGTCCTTGCTTTTCTTTAAGTATGTGATGATCCCTCACAAACTGATCCATGAAACTAGTAATCAATAATGCATAATTTTCCACATTCTTTCAGGTTGGCTTGCTGAATGTCGATGGATACTATAATTCATTGCTTTCTTTTATGGATAAAGCTGTGGAAGAAGGATTTATTAGTCCAAGTGCACGCCAAATCATTGTATCTGCACCCACAGCAAAAGAGTTAGTAAAGAATTTGGAGGTATAAATTAAAGAAACTTCTTCAAATATGCCATTCCTTAATTATCTAAAGTGCATATATATATATATATATATATATATATATATCTTTCAAGCAGCTTCTTTCTTAACTCTTAAGGAATCATAGGTGTTCCATACATTTAATCGGTTTCTTGCTCTGATCCCAAATTAGAGCAGGATAAAACTTTTTCTTTATTTGGGCTTGTCTTCTTCCCAAGTATTAAACCAAAGATAAATATATATATATATATATAGCTCCAAAATGAAACAAATATTTCATGGTACTCTACATTTGAACCATAGTTTACTTTAGTGATGCAAGAAATAAAGTAAATTGTATACATATTAATCCAAACTGATTTGATTGCATCATGTGAAATTGTACATTTGGTTTATTATTTCCTTAATCATCATATCTTAATCCAAATAAAAGTGTCCCTGCAATTAATGGCCTGTTTTTCATGTCTACTTACTATTACAGGATTATGTCCCCTGCCATGAAAGAGTTGCTTCAAAGTTGAGTTGGGAGATGGAGCAGCTTGGCTACTCGAAAGCATATGATATATCTAGGTAAGCTTGGAGTGCATGAAGGAGAAGGTAGATGGAATTTGGAATGCTCTAATTGAAAAAGACTCAAAATTTCCTTCAATGGAGGAATTCTTTTTGTAAATTACTACTATTGACATTGATATATGAACTTCAACTTCAACCTTCTCTTTTAATGGATAATTGATTCTCTTTTACATTGTAAGTACACTAAATGCTCATGAACTGTGCCTTTTATAATATTAACTAATCTGTATTATGACTGGCTTTCCTGTGCCTGATCAATCATTTTTATCAATTTCTTCTTCCTTGTCTTTGGGAGATTGATAGAGAGGGTAAGAAAAGCAAGAAAAGCAGGTCTGCAAGTCATCATTTTTGGAGATATAATAATATAGTTTTAGTTATGAGTATCATGGTGTGAGGCAAAACCTTGAGATGAAACTATCATGACTTGTGTCAACTCTTTAGCATTGCCTGATTCCTAAAGCTTTTCTTTAGTCAACTTTGATTTATTATTGATCTTCATTAGCCAAGCTCTTGTGCAAGATCAATACCATTTTCAGTTTTTAAAAGCAAAATTAATCCAAATTTCCTTTACATTGCTTCCTATTTGAGTGACATGAACCAATCACACGACAGTCAAAAGGCTTGGCATGTGCAGTGAAATGACCAAAACCACAATGATGATCCAACACCAAAGGCATTTTGTTATCAATTAAGTGAAAATTTAAAGGGTCATATCATGTAAGAAACGTGTCCTCAGTCTGTGTTTCAAGTTCTGGTTTCGCTGCAAAGGTTTTGAGTTAACTAGGGACAACCGACAGGACTAACCCAACCGACGACCAATAACGGAGGGAGCCAGGTGGTTTAATGGAAGAGAGAGAGAGGGGGCCTATTTGGTTTCACTGGTGAGAGAAATGGAGCTCGCCCATTGCCGTCCCACAAGCGAGTCGATGACATGTGTAATGTGGGACAAATGCTACCGGAACACAAGGGGAAGGGGAGGACCATATGCCATGGACATTTTAGGACAATATGATTAACTTAAGTTAGGTCCCAGTTTCATCTCACAAAAGCTTGTGAATTGTGACTGATCGGTGGCATTGCTTTGTGCCACTAGTTTGAGGATTCACCTAAAGAACATACGGTGGTTGGACAGTCACTTCCCAAGGCTTCTGATGCTTTGAATTGGATTCAATGTGAATTTGGTAGTATACAAACTATCCATTCAAAATATTGGTATATCAGTCTTTTTTGCCTACATTAGGAGGAATTGAACCTAAAACTTGTCATCAAGACTCCATCTAAAACATGTTATCTCTAAAACTGGTTCTAATCTGCTTTTATGCAATAAAAATTCATGGTTTACCAGCTTCCCTATAGCAAGACAAAAGATCAAATTGTACGCTACTTTCTAGCTAGCTTGCATAGAATAGCAGTAGGGATGCATTGAATTCAAGGTTAGCATGTGAAAATCTTTTACAAAGTCTACTTACGTTAAGTCTATGATTGTATGTTTTCTGTTTTTTTTCCGAAAAGAATAAAAAGGACAACCATTATAAATGCAAAAGAGGCCATCCAACAGAAAGATAAGAAGAAAGTTTGCTTAAGATTGTGACTGAGGTCTTTTTAACAAGTGTTTTGATGGTATTAGACAAGACAGATATCAGCATCCCTGCATGATGCTTGGAGGTAAACGCTGCCTGGAAACATTGCATGTGAAATTATGAAAGAATTTTCAGGAAGAAAAGAGTTCCAACATGTTCTTTCATCTACCCTCCAGTCTGTTCCTTCAGCTTGGTAACATCCTTGCCAAGGTCTATCTCAGAAATCATAGGCTATCATTCCATTCATTTTTTCCTCAAATTCTTGTTAACAATCTTCTGATCAATCCTTATTATTACTGGTGAACTAACTATTTTTTGTTTTACACTGCTCTCTACATTATCTTGTTAGCTCAATGGTAGTTCGACTTCTAATCCCAATCTTAACCAAAAAAACTTACAGAATTCAAAAAAAAAAAAAAAAAACCCCACATTTCACAAATAGAATAATATATACTTTGAACAATGGTGACCTGGGCCAGGCCTTTATTTTTTGCTGTCTCAATTTCAAGTCCTGCAAGACTTGCAGCAGTGGAGCCTGAGTCATACTCATATGGTCGGCTTAGGCAAGCCCTCTTGTAATTGTAGACAGGCTGTTTACTGGCCCATGGTTTCCCTACCAGGCAATTCCTTCATTTCACATTTTTCACAAATGACAGTATTTTTTTAATTTCACTTTGTACCAATTAAAATTGGTGGCAATTACTTCTTCTTTGACAAAATTTAAGAAAGGTTTTCAATTTCCACCAGATAACTACTTTCCGGGCTAACACTCGTGATGAAAGAGGATCGTGCCAATGGCAGTTTTCCTGCTTAAATGAAATTACATTGAATTCCCTTGTAGTACACCATTATCGGTTAGAAAGGCCTTTTATTGGCACTAAAACAGCCTGTTTAATATTCCATACTTCCCGTGTCGTATGTCGTACATTCATTTGTGAAGTCTTATTGCGTAGATCCTAAGATATATAAAGTGTGAAGTGAGGGATCTCACTAGCAGGATGGAATAAACTTCTTCTTTGCCTTTCATGCATAGGCTTGTACTGGGTTCATTAATAAGGCTTTAACTCGAATCGTTGAACCTTATAACCCAAGCCTAAAACTGTTCAAGCAAGAAAGAGACAGTATTTAGAAACATTGGATTTGCCATGTCTGTTTTCACAGAAAATGCCAATTTTCCACCCAAATCAGTGGACTCCAACCCCAAATCTTTTACCTCAAACTTTCACTAGCGGTAACCCAAAATGACTTTTCTTTTCTCACTTTTTTTTCTTTGTAAATAGTCTTAATTATCAAATATACTGCAGGTGGGAAAAATTTATATAAAATATTTTAGATAAAGTTCGTAAAATTTTTATTAAAATTTATCTAATTAAAATTTAAATTAATAGATTGAAAGATTTTATTATATAAATTAAGTATGTAAATTTTGAAAAAAAATAAAATTAAATATATTTTTTGAATAGGTAATTTTAGTGAAAAATTTAATACAATTTTTACTGTTGAATAAGTACTCGTCAAATTTTAGTTATAAACAATATTTTTAATAATTTTTTTTTACATATTATTGATGTTCTCATTAAATTCTATCAATACATTGATTTTAATTTTTGGTTTTAAATTTTATTGAATCATTTTTAATAAAAAAATTCATAAATTTCATCTAAAAAACTTTATATAAATCTCTCCCTTGTCAGAATAGTTTTTTAACACTACAAGTGGACTTAACAAAAGGTGATACATGCCCCTTAGATATATTTAAAAAAATAAAAAATGTGTCACCATATTAATATGACTTATGAAATTAAAAATTTATACTGAGAATATATTAAATAATTTCTGAAAATAATATGGGATGTAGCAAAGTTGTAAAATGGGTCATACGAAATAAATGCATAGATTAGTAGATAAAAATGTGGTATATGCTGCAACAACCAGCTTAATGCTTTTGTTACAAAATCAGAGAATGGAATTATACAACCAGTCGCTTTCTATCACCCAACATCTGTACCTTCCTCAACTTCCTGTAGGAAAGACCAGCAGCCAAGCAAGATGTGAAGGCAAAGCAAAATTTTTTGGTGACTGTCTTGCTGATCCTAGCTATTAACATTTCTGATAGAATAGATTATACAAATGAAGTTAGAGTCTTGGAGATTGGAAATGACTCTTCTATTCTTAATTTCTTATTATAATGTTGCTTCCATGGTTTGTGTAGCCCTTGCATTTGCTTTACCTAATGAAATAAACAATGCTGCCAACTCTGAAACAACAACCCCAGCCCTCCCATTAACCTACCTTCTATATCTACTACTATAAATGCCAATGTTTTCCCATTCTAACATAACAGTCATCACCACTCAAAAAAGTGTTATTTGCTGAGCAGTGGAAAGAAGGAAAGTGGCAATGCAGCTTGATAGCTACTTGAGGTCGTTTTTTCTCATTTTCTGCTTTGCTTGGTTTCTGACTTTTCCAGCTGAAGCCGCTGTTAAGAAATATCAGTTTGATGTGGGTGTTTTGCTGTTGTTCTTCTATGTTTTCTTTGACTCTAACTTTCTTTTCTAATGAAGGGTTAAGACCTTCATATAACTCTTCTAGCGCATCTTTTCTTTTTCTGGGTTCAGATAAAAGTCAAGAATGTGAGCAGGCTGTGTCATGCAAAACCAATTGTCACAGTGAATGGAAGGTTTCCAGGACCAACCATTTATGTAAGAGAAGGAGATCGAGTTCTTGTCAATGTTACCAACTATGCACAATCTAACATGTCCATTCATTGGTATGTCATCTAGCTTTTTGCACAATATATATAATTAAGATTGTGCATTCAAAACAAAATATTTTAATCAACTAGTTTTCGTAAGTATGCAGGCACGGCTTGAAGCAATTTCGAAATGGTTGGGCTGATGGACCAGCATACATAACACAATGCCCTATCAAGACCGGACATACCTATGTTTTTAATGTCTCAGGACAACGAGGAACACTATGGTGGCATGCACATATTTTGTGGCTAAGAGCTACAGTCCATGGTGCCATTGTCATTACGCCGAAAGAAGGAACCCCATTTCCATTCCCTCAACCTCATAGAGAAACTAAAATAATCCTAGGTTTGTACTTGATTATAGTCACTGATATATATTTGAAAGTTCTTTGAATTGGAGTAATGGAATATCCAACAGGCTAAGTTATGTGCAGGAGAATGGTGGAACTCAGATGTTGAAACACTTGTAAGCCAAGCCAATAAGTTGGGGTTGCCACCATCAACCTCTGATGCTCATACCATTAACGGGAAACCAGGGCCACTCTTCCCTTGTTCTCATAAACGTAAGTATTAGCTTCATGCTTTACATTAGGAAGAACTTTTTTTCAGTATGGTTATCTTCCAAAAATATATAAATGTTAAGCAATGTAAATTGTTTCTATTTTAGATACCTTTGCCATGGAGGTAGAGGCAGGCAAAACTTACCTTTTGAGGATTATCAATGCTGCACTTAATGATGAACTGTTTTTTTCAATTGCTGGTCATAACATGACCGTGGTAGAGATTGATGCAGTCTACACCAAGCCCTTCACAACGAGGGTTATTCTAATTGCTCCAGGTCAAACAACCAATGTTCTAGTTAAAGCTGACCAACCCCCAAGCCGATACTTCATGGCAGCCAGGCCAATCATGGATGCACCAGTTCCTGTGGACAACAAAACTGTTACAGCTATTCTACAATACAAAGGCATCCCAAACACAGTTCTTCCGTCTATGCCCAAATTGCCTGCACCAAACAACACCAATGTCGCCTTGAGCTATAGCAATAGACTAAAAAGCCTAAATACCCCACAATTTCCAGCAAAAGTACCACTTAAAGTGGACCGCCACCTCTTTTACACAATTGGTTTGGGTGCAAACCCATGTTCAACTTGTCAAAATGGTACACAACTCACAGCTTCATTGAACAACATAACCTTTGTGATGCCAAAGATTGGTCTTCTCCAGGCTCATTATTTCAATATCAAAGGAGTGTTCAGAACTGACTTCCCTGACCGGCCTCCTGTCCAATTTAACTACACTGGTGTACAGCTTACCAAAAACCTGGGCACTTCATTAGGAACAAGGCTCAGTAAGGTGGCTTTCAATTCCACCATTGAGCTGGTATTACAGGGCACAAACCTCCTCACAGTAGAGTCACACCCATTTCATCTTCACGGTTTCAATTTTTATGTTGTTGGAAGTGGTGTTGGAAACTTTGATCCCTCCGAAGACCCTGGTAAGTTTAACATCGTCGATCCTCCTGAGAGAAATACAGTTGGAGTACCAACTGGTGGATGGACAGCTATTAGATTCAGAGCTGATAATCCAGGTAATTTTTCACAGAAATGACCCTGTCAACAAATTGACTCTGACATGATTCCTATTTGTGCACACTTATACCACACATACAGGCTTATTGAACTTACTCTGGCTCTTCTGAGTACATTTGCAGGTGTTTGGTTTATGCATTGTCACCTGGAGCTGCATACTATGTGGGGTTTAAAGATGGCCTTTGTTGTTGAGAATGGGAAGTCACCAGAAGAGTCTATTATACCACCACCAAAGGACCTTCCACCTTGCTAGATATTGGCCCAAGGCAAATGACTGTTGATTCTTTCTTGTTGGAATAACAATTCTGTGTTCCTACATTTTTATGTATTTATTTCATTCTTGTTTTCTTGTAACAAGCTTCCCTGGATCAGTTCCGGTCAATTCTTTTGGGAGGCAAATGTCCCAAGGTCAAAATGCTTTATTTTAGATTGTTTCCCCCATTTATGTGATACCAAGTTTCATCAATGAAGCTTCATACTTGTCTTTTCATTGTCTTGATAGAAAATGCATGTGGGATTGAATATTGATTTGGTTATTCTGATTGTTGAAAAATCTATACAAAAAGAAACTTTGAAGAGGTAGTGAGTGCTTCCTATCTGTTAAATAGAATCCTGTCAATTTATGGAATGATATGAACTACACCATAACTGTTCATGCTTCAACAAACAGAAGCAAGCACAAAAAGATAAACCTAATGATCAATTATTTTACAGAGTTGTCTGGAAATGAAATATGGAAAAATGAGGTCAAGGCATAGGGAAAAGCAAAAAATGATCCAAAAGGACAAGACCTTGCCACGAATATTGCATCCTACTCACCTTCATACTGCTTCAACATTTGGAGGTTTGTAACTAAGTAGAGTGAATGGTTCATAAACTAATGAGTTTTAGTAGTTGTCATGCAAAAGTCTATGAGTTAAAGTTTAATAAATGAATCAAATTACAATCAAATTTGTAAATAGGACATCCAAAAAACCATTATTTTTTAGCAACCAAAAATAACATTATTTAATCCACAGATAAAAAGAACCAAAATTTTGATGCATTCAACATCAACAGGTAATGTTTTAAATATGGCGAGAAAAACTACTTTCCTGTTAATTGAGCTTCAAAGTTCCAGGAACCACCTCAATGTTTTCATTGTTTTGTTGTCTGTTCACAGATGAAGGGGCAGCTCTTAGATTGGAAAGCTTTGATCCTTTTGGACAGCAAGAATGTGACTTCTTATTGAAACCTAACCTTCTGGTGAAATTCCTCCAACTTCTCTTGGTCTTCACCAGTTTCTGGAGTTCCTCTTTCATGCTCAAACAGTCCTTTTCAAGCTCAGAAACTCGGTGCTTCACATCATCCTCGCCAACTATAGCACGATGTTGTGCAGTGTCTATTGGATGAGATCCATCATTTTTAAGGAGTCCAAAGTTTCCACTAGGATTTTGAGTGTTTTCAAGATTGTCAGAAACAAAGAACCAGCCAGAAATTGATGTACGAAGTCTTAGTTGTTCAAAGAAGAGGACTTGGATGATTACTCGAAGAGGCAGCCTCTCATTCTGGGCTGCATGTGTGCTGGCTTCCAATGAGAGTTTTTGACAATTCATAAGTCTGCAGAGTTGCTCTCTTTCAAGATCTGTAATCCAAGGATGTGCCTGCAAATGTGAAATATATAAATATTCAGTGATTAGTACCATTTTTTTCTTCTGTTTTGGTTAGAAAAAAATAATAACGAGCACATAATTAAGACCTGATAACATATAAAATGACTCCGAGTCCAAGACCATTAAGAATTACAATCAGAATTCTACTTTAATTTGTAACTTCAATCACTTAGTAAAATTGGTTTCAAAGCAGAATTAACAACATAGAAATAAGCCATGGATTTGAGATAATACGACCTTCAGGTACACATCAATTGCATGATAGAGGCCATCGTCAAGTGGCCTTGCATAATCAGGGATGGTAGCAGCAAGTGCCTCAAACTTGGGAAGCTTGAAATTAACATCTGGTGCCACTTCTGCTAAAAATCCATCTAACAGACTGGCTACCATTGTCATGGGTGTCAATGAATCGGATCCATTCATTAATTTCCCCTCCTCAACTATGCAAGGGGGGGTTGCTATAGCTGCAGCCTGCTCTACTAACATGAAATGATCAAGAATCCTCTGAACACAGTCTATATCGTAAAGTGTCTCTGAGTAACCCATATTTGGTATGAGTAAGTCTATAAGTGAAGCTTGATCCAACTGAGCTCCCACTCTCTTCTCCAAATTTTCTTTGCATGATGGACTACCATGCAGTACCATAGCTGTACGAAGCAGTCTAATGAGAAACTTGGAGGATGTGACTCCCTTCTTATTTGGAAGTAACCCTACAATCTCTTCCAGGAGAGCCCTTTGATCTGCTTCGGAAGGGTTTGAAACATTTGTCCCCTGGTTAACACGGTTTGCATCATCGAAGCTTGATTGTCTATTCATCAAGGGGAGATACCTCCTAGCATAGTGTACGACCGATGCAGCAATGTTCTCGGGCCTCATACCTCTTGCTTCAATAGCTAAAATCAGTCTTTTATATAGTGGTAAACTAAGGAATGATACATCTTCGTACCACCAATCCTCGCCTGTAGGTTGTGTCTTGGTTGCAGTTGATATTCCATTCCATAAGCCTGTGTTTTCTGGACTTTGCTTGGTATCGCGTTCTGGGAAAGGCCAGCTGAATAAGCTTGGGTCCGCACAAGCCTTCATTGCCAAGGAATCGATGCACCTTGAGACAATGTGGAGCTCTTCAGCATATGGCAAAACTTCTTCACATGCTTCAAGAGCTCTAATTGAATCTGCCCAGTTTCTGAGCACTTCGTTAAGAAAAGACTCTGTCTGCGTTGCAAGATTTCCATCTCCATAATCGTTAGTCATTCGGAGGAACTCTGCTGCACATCTAATGCTGACTACATTTTGTGCAGTGAGTTCTATTTTAACACCATAACAAAATTTGGATACAAGCTCAAAGGCTTTAGCTCCACCAGGTATGTCATTAAGTCTCAGACTACAACTTGACCCATCCCCACTAGAACACTCTTCAATAAGCTTTTCTAGTAGCCCACTTCTTGAAAGCAATGGAAACTGCAACAGATACCAAAACGAGCCGATATAGAATTAACTTAGCTGCGAAAAAAAATAAAACTCAAAAGCAGCCATTTCAAAGACTAAATATAACTGAAATAGCACACCTTGTGGAGATGGAAAGATATTTCTCCAATGTTAATGCTAACATCGCTTGGAAGTCCAGATGTGCAGATCCTGAAAATGAAATAAGAACCATAATTGAGGTCCATAATATGAAATTAGCGGTAATTCGATCAGTATCCAATCACACTTCTTTTTCTCTTTCTATTACACTCTTATCATCTAATTCTTCTTTTAGAATGATTATATAAAGAAGAACAAAAAATATAAGTCCTTTATATCAATCAATGGTTGATTGGTTGTTTGGATAATCCACCATTTCTGCAGCTCATTTAAATCAAGTACTCTCCAATGGGGTAAGCACTGTAAACATCCAACCTAAATCCAATTAATTGAATATAAAATTACAAAAAATTATATATTTATTAGACGGAGGATAATATCATTTTAACACATATTTTCTAACACCTTAACCAAAAAAGGGTAAGAATCGTTTCTAGGTAAAAAAATTAGAATATAAACATGTCTCATACAAACCAACATTTGTCCAGGATATCAGGTATCATCAAAACTCCAATTTACTGTTCAGATACAATTAAGCAGACCCTCAACAGAGTTGCAATATAACCATTTTATCACAGAAATTAATGATGCCAAGAAATAAACAAACCAGAATTGTGGGGCTAACTGTCTTTTAAAAATGTGGTTTAAATAATTGATACAGCCTCTGGAATTAACCTCACATTTTGTATTTGATTCAAACACGTTAATTTTTAAAGCATATAAAACTCAGAAACATGCAAAACCCTTTTCCCCCGTGGAAATGAGAAGAGGCTTACCAAGAGTGACCTTCACGGTGAAATGCTTCAGGCTTGGAACCCAGCCTCAAGAATGCCATTTTTTTTCCTTCAAAGTGAAAGAAAATAAGACAAATGAATGAAGAATCCTTCTCAAAAGTGAAAGAAGTGGTTCTTGAAAGAGAAAGTAACAAAAAATAGTAAGTGAGCGGGTCTAAAGCAAAGAAGGGAAGAAATATTAGGAAGTGGTTCCGGTTGGCTTCCTCAGGTGTTAGCACTTTGACTCTCATCTCCTTCATTTTCTCATACGTTGGATTCATGCAGTGATTTACTGTCTTTCACTTTTTCATTTAGCACATTTTACATGTAACAATTTGTAATCTCTCGGACAAATTTCAAGACCCTCTTCACCTTTGATGAATTTTCAAAACATTTTCACATGTAAAGACTAATGTATGCAATTATTTTTAACATATATAATCTGAAAATTATATAAGACGTTAAAAAAAGGATCAATTTCTAGTAAGAAATGAATCATATTGTTGAAAAACTACAGACAAACGAAACAATATTGAAAGAAAAAGCAAAGAAACAAATTTTGTAGCTGCCTGTTTGAATTACGAAAACATTATCCTTATCCATTTCCCTTGTTTATCCTTTTAATTTGTAGTCATCACCTATTATGTGGTCGTATATTCTCATTTCTATTAGATTGATATTTTTGTGATTTGCTATTGATTTATTTTTGTTTTATTTTTCTTTTTTATTTTTGATTTGTAGTATTTTTTAAATAAATAAAAATAAAAATAAAAACAAGAACAAAATAAAAATGAATAAATATAAAATATAAAAAATTATCATATCTACTCATAGTGAAAATTTTTAGATTTTATGAGTAAGATTAACAGGCTAATACATATCTTTTAAAATATAATAAAAACTAAAAAATAATTTTAAATTTTAAATATATATATAATAATTTTTTTAACTGTATTTATAAAATTAAAAAAATTTCTTAATGTGCACTCTTATAATTTATATAGTTTTATTGAAAATTGCTACAACTGTTTATTTCACATCATGTAAACATAAATGGGATCTCTTAATCAACTAGTTTTATCAATCAATTACATGCAAGATATTTCAAGACGTTAAATCATCCACGACAAAATTTGTCATAGGACCACTTGTATTGTCCAGTCACTTGAAAGAATTTTCATTTTTTCTTTGTCATGTTACTCTGTAAACTCTCAAACCAGACAGGTTTTAGCATGGCTTATCATCATCGTCATCATCAAACCAATCTTTTTCCACCATAGAAAAATAAATAAATAAAAATCTTTGATTGGGGTTTTCTTCTCTTTTTCTTACCCTTCCTCCTGTTTGATCTTCTGACTAATTTTCTTACAAGAAAAGGCAAAATAATTAATAAATAAAATAAAAATGAGAACAGAGATTTTGGAGGCTGTCAAAAGTGGGGTCTTGTCATAGTTTCATGATTAATGAGACAGCCAAAAATTCGTCACCTGTAACTATAAACAGACACGTGTGAATTGTTGTGTCATATCAAACACTTAAATGTAGGATGTGTACGAATCAAACATAAATAGATATAATTAAGTTAATGATCTATTCATCTAATTAATAAATTATAAAATATAATAAATAAATAAAAATTAAATATGATTAGAAATTATTTATCTAACACTCAACTAATTTTAATAAATAAATTAAATATAAATAAATTTTATTATATTTATAATCTATTTTTAATTAATAATTTTAAAATATTATTCATAATTATTTATTAAATTTAATAAATAAATAAAAATCAATCAT